AAAACTGAGAGGATATCAACCAACGATGGGCAAGTTCGAATGGGCGTCAAGATTGGTGACCCCAGATACTTTAATGGCAAAATAGCCCAGATGAAAGTATTTGACGTTGCTCTAGTTAAAGACGATATTAAAGCTGCCATGAATGAAGGTAACACACAGTTAACGATATGACTTTTATATTTCATGACATGTTTTGTCCGCTGAGTTTTTGATTAATATATTTCTAACCCTGAAGTAGTTTAAGACTCTTAATCTAAGGCTGTCCAAGAACTTAAAATGTAGTCCACTATTTCGTCATTCTGCCAAATGATACCATGGGAAATATACCATATAATCTGGTTTAAACCGAATATAAAATTTACAATGGTAGTATGGACGGAATGAGAAGAGAGAAAAGTGAAAATGGGTGGTGTTTTGCGAGCAGCAATCTCCTAAGAAGAGAAGACCAGAAATTCCATTTCCGAGAAGTCCAGACTCTCTATTGAGATGAAAATTTGGACGCAAACTAAATGATTCGTCCTCCATGAGAGGCTTTGTAGTTTACTTCAGTTTACTCGGTTGCCCTTTAGCTTTTATAATCTATTTGAAAGGTTTAGATCCTTGTTCAGGAGATCCTTGTGTCAACAATGGCACGTGCGTAGATAATGGAGACAATATCTTCAAATGTATGTGTCCTCCCGGTGTCACCGGTGATCGCTGCCAAGTTCGTAAGTACTCCACTTGCATAAGTTTGTTTGTTTTAATTAAAGTTTAATGTTTTTAATAGCTCGTGAGTCGAGATCTTAATATTTACTACCGAATAATGCCTCATATGTTCCTGTTGAAAGGGTCTTTGTTTTTCACATATTGGTGAGTGTCTGGACAAATTCTTAAAAGGAAATTGTAACCTTGAGAGGTTACCTTTGTGGAAAAACTCGACTGGTGTAACGTAAATAGAGTCATAGCTGAATTCGAACGCACGTATAATGCCAAAGTCCAAGTTTAATCCAGCAGACGTAAATATACAATCAACGTATGACTACTGTACCGATAGCTTGAAATTATGATGGCAAAGCTTTGTGACTTCGTGGTTAGAACTATAAACGAAATTGGACGACAACTCCTAGAACGAGCTACAAGAACGTAACGCTAGAAACAAAGAAATGACTATGTAGAAAACAAAAAGCCCAAAATAAATGGACAACGTGACGAAACTAAGATAAATAAACCTAAAATAATTGTACAGGAACTTACTTTGGTCAAGCTCCTAGAGGAGACAACAGTATGCACGATAGCAAGAAAACCTCTGGTAGATAGCCTTAGCTCATAGCCGACCGCAACTATCTCACTGAATACACTCACGTAAACCTGAAACCTAAAACCTAACACGTGTAGGAAGACGGAAAGAGTCCCTACGGAGCGAGCTAAATTACGTAATGTATTGACCAGCTAACGAAACGTCATATAAAACTATTAGCAGGTACCATTTAACACGTAACGAGTAAACGAAATATACAAAAACGCGTTTAAACCTAACAGAAGTAACTACAGATTCCTCTACCAAGAACTCAAACCCTCTCTTGATTTGAACATTTTCTACAAACAAAATGTTTGCCACTCATGAAGGGTTTTGCAGTTTACTCAAAGGATTTTTTAATTTCGTTGGCGGTCTTTTAAATTCATCATGCATTTTAAGGTTTAGATCCTTGTTCAGTCTATCCCTGTACCAACAATGGCACATGTGTGGATAATGGAGACACTACCTTCAAATGCATGTGTCCTCCCGGTGTCACTGGTGATCGCTGCCAAGTTCGTAAGTATTCCACTTGTTTAAGTTGGTTTGTTTGCTTTTATTCTTGAAAAAGTGATGTTTTAGATAGATGATGACTCCATATGATCACATTCCTATCGGTATGACGAGACAATCGTTTTCGTTTAAGGGCCTGTGTACTTTTATACATTAATTAATGAGTGTGTGGATGAACTCTTAAGAAGAAAAGAGTAGAGTTTCCACTCTAAAGATGCTCAGACCCTGTCTTGATATTAAATTTGGACGCAAACGAAATATTTCGTGGCACATGAGAGGTTTAGCAGTCTACTCGACGATGTTTCAATTTCATTGATGGTCTTTTAACTTTTGTCCAACGTTTTAAGGTTTAGACCCTTGTTCAGAATATCCCTGTGCCAACGATGGCACATGTGTGGATAATGGAGACAATACCTTCAAATGCATGTGTCCTCCCGATGTCACTGGTGATCGCTGCCAAATTCGTAAGTACTCTTTTAAATTTGTTTGTTTGTTTGTTTTCTTCAAGGAATAACTCTTAAGATAAGTGGTACCTTTAGAGCATAGGATTTTCTACTAATATAATGTCACATTTGTTCTGGTCAGGAGGGCTTTTGTCCGCGTTCACATTGATTAATGTCTGGCCAAACTGTTTTGACTGTTTTTTTAGGTATAGACCCCTGTTCAGAATATCCTTGCGTCAACGATGGCACATGTGTAGATAATGGAGACAATACCTTCAAATGCACGTGTCCTCCGGGTGTCACTGGTGATCGCTGCCAAGTTCGTAAGTGTTCCATTTGGTTTTTTTTAAATGCCTGTTTGCCTTTCAAAAGAAAACGTTTTAGCTGGGAGGGGAATCGAGATCATCATATGTTTAAAGGGTCATTGTCTTTCATATATTGATAAGTGCCTGGACCCTTTTTGTAGAAGAAAAGATAAGAAAATTCCAATCTCACTATCGATATGAAAATCTTGACCCAAAATGTTTTGCCGCGCAAGAACGGTATTGCAATTTACTCCAGTTTTTTTTTAAATATTTCGTCATTGCACTAACTTTTATCATACATTCATAAGGTCTAGACCCCTGTTCAAAAGATCCTTGCGTCAACAATAGCACATGTGTAGATAATGGAGGCAATACCTTCAAATGCATGTGTCCTGCGGGTGTCACTGGTGATCGCTGCCAAGTTCGTAAGTATTCCATTTGTTTTTGTTTGAACGCTTGTTTGCTTTTCAAAGGAAAATGTTTTAGCCGAGAGGTAACTCGAGATCATCATTTTTACTACCGATTGAATGGGTCATTAAATTTTACTAAGTTAAAAAGGTCATTGTCTTTCACATACTTATAGGTGCCTGGACCATTTCTGTGGGAGAAAATATTAGAAAATCCCTATTTCACTTTCGATATGGAAATCTTGGCCCTAAATGTTTTGTTTCGCAAGAAGTGTTTTGCAGTTTACTCCAGTTTTTCATTTATATTTCTTCATTGCCTTAAAAACTTTTGTCATACATTCATAAGGTCTAGACCCCTGTTCAGAATATCCTTGCGTCAACAATGGCACATGTGTTGATAATGGAGACAATACCTTCAAATGCATGTGTTCTCCCGGTGTCACTGGTGATCGCTGCCAAGTTCGTAAGTATTCATATGTTTTTGTTTGAATGCTTGTTTGTTTTTTAAAAGAAAATGTTTTAGTTGAAGTAGCTGAGAGGTGACTCGAGATCATCATTTTTACTACCGATTGAACGAGACATTAATTTTGCTAAGTTGAAAGGGTCATTGTCTTTCACATATTGATAAGTGCCTGGACCATTTCTGTAGAACAGAAGATTAGAAAATCCCAAACTCACTTTAGATATGAAAATCTTGACCCTAAACGTTTTGTCGCACAAGAAGGGTTTTGCTGTTTACTCCAGTTTTTTTTTTATATTTCGTTATTGCACTAACTTTTATCATACATTCATAAGGTCTAGACCCCTGTTCAAAAGATCCTTGCGTCAACAATGGCACCTGTGTAGATAATGGAGGCAATACCTTCGAATGCGTGTGTCCTCCTGGTGTAACTGGTGATCGCTGCCAAGTTCGTAAGTATTCCATTTGCTTTTGTTTGAAGGCTTGTTTGCTTTTCAAAGGAAATTGTTTTAGTGGAGAAGTGACTCGAGATCATCATTTTTACTACCGATTGAATGAGACATTTTATTTTACTAAGTTAAAAGGGTCATTGTCTTTCACATATTGATAAGTGCCTGGAATATTTCTGTAGGAGAAAAGATTAGAAGATCCCAATCTCACTTTCGATATGAAAATCTTGACCCTAAATGTTTTGTCGCGTAAGTGTTTTGCAGTTTACTCCAGTTTTTTTCTTTTAAATTTTGTCATTGCCTTAAAAACTTTTGTCATACATTCATAAGGTATAGACCCCTGTTCAGAATATCCTTGCGTCAACGATGGCACATGTGTAGATAATGGAGACAATACCTTCAAATGCATGTGTCCTCCGGGTGTCACTGGTGATCGCTGCCAAGTTCGTAAGTATTCCATTTGGTTTTGTTTAAAGGCTGGTTTGTTTTTTAAAAGAAAATGTTTTAGTTGAAGTAGCTGAGAGGTGACTCGAGATCATCATTTTTGCTACCGATTGAACACGACATTAATTTTGCTAAGTTAAAAGGGTCATTGTCTTTCACACATTGATAAGTGCCTGGGCCATTTCTGTAGAACAGAGGATTAGAAAATCCCAAACTCACTTTAGATATGAAAATCTTGACCCTAAACGTTTTGTCGCACATTTTCAAAGGAAAATGTTGTAGCTGAGAGGTGACTCGAGATCATCATTTTAACTACCGATTGAATGGGTCATTAAATTTTAGTTTTTTTTTTTTTTTATATTTCGTCATTACACTAACTTTTATCATACATTCATAAGGTCCAGACCCCTGTTCAAAAGATCCTTGCGTCAACAATGGCACATGTGTAGATAATGAAAACAATACCTTCAAATGCATGTGTCCTCCTGGTGTAACTGGTGATCGTTGCCAAGTTCGTAAGTATTCCATTTGCTTTTGTTTGAACGCTTGTTTGCTTTTCAAAGGAAAATGTTTTAGCGGAGAAGTGACTCGAGATCATCATTTTTACTACCGATTGAATGGGACATTTTATTTTACTAAGTTAAAAGGGTCATTGTCTTTCACATATTGATAAGTGCCTGGACTATTTCTGTAGGAGAAAAGATTAGAAGATCCCAATCTCACTTTCGATATGAAAATCTTGACCCTAAATGTCTTGTTGCGCAAGAAGTGTTTTGCAGTTTACTCCAGTTTTTTTCTTTTATATTTCGTCATTGCACTAACTTTTATCATACATTCATAAGGTCTAGACCCCTGTTCAAAAGATCCTTGCGTCAACAATGGCACATGTGTAGATAATGGAGACAATACCTTCAAATGCATGTGTCCTCCTGGTGTAACTGGTGATCGCTGCCAAGTTCGTAAGTATTCCATTTGTTTTTGTTTGAACGCTTGTTTGCTTTTCAAAGGAAAATGTTTTAGCGGAGAAGTGACTCGAGATCATCATTTTTACTACCGATTGAATGAGACATTTTATTTTACTAAGTTAAAAGGGTCATTGTCTTTCACATATTGATAAGTGCCTGGAATATTTCTGTAGGAGAAAAGATTAGAAGATCCCAATCTCACTTTCGATATGAAAATCTTGACCCTAAATGTCTTGTTGCGCAAGAAGTGTTTTGCAGTTTACTCCAGTTTTTTTCTTTTATATTTCGTCATTGCACTAACTTTTATCATACATTCATAAGGTCTAGACCCCTGTTCAAAAGATCCTTGCGTCAACAATGGCACATGTGTAGATAATGGAGACAATACCTTCAAATGCATGTGTCCTCCTGGTGTAACTGGTGATCGCTGCCAAGTTCGTAAGTATTCCATTTGTTTTTGTTTGAACGCTTGTTTGCTTTTCAAAGGAAAATGTTTTAGCGGAGAAGTGACTCGAGATCATCATTTTTACTACCGATTGAATGAGACATTTTATTTTACTAAGTTAAAAGGGTCATTGTCTTTCACATATTGATAAGTGCTTGGAATATTTCTGTAGGAAAAAAGATTAGAAACTCCCAATCTCACTTTCGATATGAAAATCTTGACCCTAAATGTCTTGTGGCGCAAGAAGTGTTTTGCAGTTTACTCCAGTTTTTTTCTTTTATATTTCGTCATTGCCTAAAAAACTTTTGTCATACATTCATAAGGTATAGACCCCTGTTCAGAATATCCTTGCGTCAACGATGGCACATGTGTTGATAATGGAGACAATACCTTCAAATGCATGTGTCCTCCGGGTGTCACTGGTGATCGTTGCCAAGTCGGTGAGTATTTCATTTGTTCAATTTTTTTGTTTATTTGTTAGTTAGTTTGTTTTTTCAAGGATAATGTTTTGGGCAGGTGGTGACTCGAGGTCATGATGTTTCGTACCGATGTAACGAGATATTTGTTCTAGTGGAAATGGCTTTTGTCTTTCAGATATCGACGAGTGTCTGGACGATAAAGGCCACTGTCAAGATATTTGTGTGAACACTATTGGCAGTTATTACTGCTCTTGCTCAGATCCAGAATTAAGCGTTGCACCAGACAAGCGACGTTGTATTGGTGAGAAATTATTTTGTGGAGTAATTCTTAATTTAGTTTGTTCTAAAGGTTGTTATCATACGGTATGTTCATTTTGTATCAATAATGAGTAATAAGCACTTTACAGGGAGGTCTCGAGGTAACAGTCATTTTCCATGGCAATCGACCTTTCCGATCTTTAAAATTTGATGTTCTTCTTGCCAAAGGCAGTTTTATCATACTTAACGTCCCTCTTAGAAATAAAACGAAAGTCGTTCGTCTGCCCCGAAGTTTCGAACCTTGATCAATTGCGCAGATAACGCGATTGTAGCGATTGAAGCGATTTTAGCAGCGTTACCATGAGAGAAATAGCCATAAGAATTTAACTGGGAGGGAGTGGGGGAATTTTTTAAAGAATCTCGCATTTTTCAAACACAGAACTCCAGTCATCGCTGACTTATTTTTGACCATCATTAGTTAGTTTCCTAAATCAACTGACCTTGAGCCATAAGATAAAATCTGGTATTTTATTCAACAGCCGAGGGAGTGGAAGTAGACTGTGGCCAGGACGAAATGACTATTACTCTACCCAAGTCTCTCCTCTTGGGTCTTGACCGTGAGCACCTGAGACTAATAGACGCGAAATGCACAGCCACTGAAAACAAGACTCACTTTTTCCTTCATACCGAAACCGGAAAGTGTGGTACAATTCTGAAGCATACCAAGGATCACGCTATATACAGCAACATGGTGTCCGAAATCCCATTAGAAGAGAAACAGATTGTAACACGTGTGCGCGATGCAATGATCCCTTTCCACTGCTATTACTCGAAATGGGGTGTGGTGTCCTCCATTGGAATCAGGCCATCAAGCGAGAAGATCGTTTTGTCTTCCAAGGGATATGGAAAGTTCACACTCAGTTTGGATTTGTTCCGAAGGTCTCAGTAAGAAAAAGCTTTACAATCGTATATTATGGTCTATTCCATTTGCTACTAAGCGAGCTGTTTACATGCATAATCAGATTTGACCGGGCCATTTTCTAGATAACAAAAAAACCTCACTTTCAAAATGAAGTCGAATATACAACCTTTCTTGAGAAAATAGTCGTATTAAAAGAATTGTCATAATGTTACAAAATGAGAGAGAATGTTTTGCTACAAAATTAAATAGGCAGATTTGTGTTCAGTTAAATCACCGAACGTAGACTTTAACACAAGATTGTTACTAACTTTTTCTGAGTTAAAATATCATTTTTCTTAAGAAGAATCACTTCAGTGTTCTTGTTTGATGGAAGTAAAGTTTATGCACAAGAGGTAAAAAAGTCTGTTTACGAGCCAAGTGGCCCGTCAGGCTGGCGGTTATCTCCGGTTTCCTTAGCATGAAGCGACATGATGCTAGTCCATCGCAGGGTTACCCCCCAGTATTAAATTCGCCGGTACACAGTTAAACCCCTGGTGAAGAGAGGCCCTGTGAGAGTAGTGTCTTCCCTAAGAACACAACACAATGTCCCCGGCCAGGGCTAGAACCCAGATCATCGATCCAGAGTCGAGCACACTAACTATGAGGCCACAGCGCCTCACGATGAAAGGTCTCACATGTGTTACCTTTTTCTTCCATCAGATTTATTTCACCGTTCTCTCAGGACGACTTCCCTGTTGAATTCACAATTCGTGAACGAGTGTTTTTTGAAGCTCGTGTCGACACAGAGGACTCGCGATTGTCAATTTTAGCCCTTGATTGCTATGCCACCCCCTCACAGGACAGGAATTCCCAGCCCAGATATGATATCATTAAAGACGGGTAGGTGTTGCTCGTTACGTTTTTCGCTCCATGACCTAAAAGAGGTTTTCAAGTTTTTCCTCAAAAAATCTGTTACCATTTGGAAATGAAAATTTTCTTTTTTTTTTTTTTTTTTCATTCTATTTATCTTCCTTCTATAAAATCATCAAACCACCAATTAGCCTTGGCGGGAAGGCAAATCCCCACCTGTCAACCCTTTAATAGTTTTGTGGAAAAGCCAAAATATTCTTCTCTTATTTTAAAAAATAAAATACTCATTAATTCATTGAAACTAATCAGAGCGCATGCATCTCTCCAATCACTCGAGCTTTTATTCCAAGAGAAAGTCAAAACTATGGTGGCCTTTAAGTGCCATTTTGAGTGTTAAAGTTATATTACATTTACGAACTTTGAATCCGTATTGCTACCTTTGATCCGTAGATATAACATTGGATTCTTGGCTATAACTTTAATACTGTTATCCGTTGTTTTCTCTTAGTTAGAGAAGCGCTTCAAGGTCACTATACAAAACGAAACTTCACTTGCAATTAGTAAATAAGTACGTTTAAAGTCTAGAGAAGGTGAGACTGTTACTGATAAACTAGAGGCCGTCATAGTTTACAGCACTAATCTTAGTTTCTTACTTTCTACATGCAGGTGATCGGTCGATGATGACGACACACTACAATTCCATGAAAGCCCCGACGACCAGTCTGAGCGCTTGAGCCTGGAGGCCTTTCAATATGTCAGCAAGCACCCGTATGTGTTTTTCCATTGTCAGGTCCAAATCTGTAACGCTACGGATCCTACCTCAAGATGTGCACAAGGCTGCATACAGAGAAGACGACGAAGCGAGAAGATCCTTCATGACAACCCAGATGATATATACGCTTTGTCCCAAGGTCCTCTTGCTCTGAACCGCGAGAAGGGAGGGGCGGAAATGGATGAGGCGGTTGCCTTGGAAAAGAACGTGTTCAAAGTTAAGACAGGTGAGTATTTGAAGTAAATATATTGAATGCTAATTGAGAGTTGCAGATATATCTGAACTGATGTCCAAAACATATTTTTAAAGTCAAAACAAAGAGTTACGCGGTATATGGTTTGACTCGGGAGTAATTATAACAATTGACAGTGCAGTCTAATCGTCCAGGTGACAGAGATCCTGAAAACGGCTGTCATTGGTGAAAATGGTGGACTTTTTGACAACTTGAGGGCAATGATACAATTCTGTTTTGCTGAGGATGTCGAGACGTATCTCATTGTCAAGGACAACATTCTGTTGCAGGGCTACTCTTACCCGGATGATTTGGCGTCACTAGCAGCAAAAAAGTGATTTTATATCACTTTCAGTATAAAAAATGGAAGCGCTGCACTAAACTTTATTCAAAGACTGACTTAAGAAAGATGGCTAGGTAACTTAACTACATTCCCAACGCCACGATTCCATAGCTTGTCTCATCTACAGACCAACTGGACGACCAAACCGGAAGCTCATATCGAAACTGAACAATCAAGACTTGCAAGAAACGCCGCTTCACAAACCACGCTACATAGGACCAATCTGTTCTCCAGAACCAGTGTTATAACATTATTTATTTATTTATTATTTATTTATTTACCGTTAAAATGATTTGTACCAAGTACTGGAGTAGAAACAATAGGACATGGGTTCCCTACGAGGTTTAAGCTCCAATAAACCCACCCATCCCACTCCAGGGGAGGACATCCATCACACAGTAATCTCGTACGTGGGAAATTAACGTCTCCTACCCCTAACCCTGCAGGAGACGGGACCTCCATTTATTCGTCCCTATCCGAGAAGACTAGAATATCTAACCTTTCTTGATGTTATAGAAAGGTTACATATTATTCTAAATTATTTTAAGACCCTGAGTGTTGGTCCGGCCGGGGCTCGAACCCTCGACCTCCCGCGCAACAGTCCAGCGCTCTATCCATTGAGCTAACCGGGAGGCGGTATTACAACATTTCACAAATGTATCTCGCTATTTTATCGGTCTACTCTACTCGGACGATGAAATTACATGATCAAACTAAGTTCCTTTTTCTTACTTTATTCTAAGCAGGTTTCAACGTGCCTGTTGCTGCCTCACTGGGTGTGTTCATCGGATTCTGCATAGTGGGGATGGCATGGCTGAAGATAACTATGAATAAAGAGGCAGCCAAAAAGCAGTTCATACCACTTTACGAGGACCTGCAGAAATGATAACGTCCTATAAGATTACTTTTCCACTTTTGCTGAGTGTTTGAAAAATTTGTGCAATTCTAGTTAGAATGTATGTATCTTTGAAAGCAGGGATGGTGTAATAGTGAGAGCGATCGTCTCCCACCACTGTAGCCTGGGTTCGATTCCCAGACCTAGTGTCACATGTAGGTTAAGTTTGTTGTTTGTTATCGTCCTTGCTCCGAGGGTTTTTCTCTGTGTCCTCCGGCTTTTCTCGCTCCACAGCAAACAGCATTCTAATTTCCAATTCGATCTGGAAACAGTGGGCAAGGAGAGCCATCCCGTTGAATGCCCCACTGCTAAAAGCCATTTATCATTATTAGTATCATTATTATTATTATTATTATTATTGTTATTATTATTATTATTATTATCTCTTAGTTTCCAACTGCTGGCATAGAAAAACAGTCATCAATGAAAGGAGTATTCTCGATGTGAAATCGTTTTTTATAATTAGTCAGAAGGAGTTTTTTCGTATAAAAACCGTAGAATTGAAAACACTTTAAGTTTCATAACGTGTCCTCTACAATCTTCCTTTACTGTCTAATCAGACCAGCCTCGCCGGATGAACGATTTTTGTAACAAAATGAAATAAATCATTTTTTTATATGCCAGGGCTGGGACGGACGATCTTTAAGTCGTTGTTGTTTTAAAACGTTATCCTTAATGGCATATTCTCAATGCATTGCGCCTGTCCTATCTTCTTTGACTGTCATTCAGTCTGATTATAGCTCCCAGTGCTTGTCATCTCTCTTTGTATGTCTGGTTTAGGGGCTGGTTTGGTATATTTGTCATCCCACATGAATGAGTAGTAATCACCTGGCATTTCTGATGAAGAATTTATGTAATCTCCGAAAAACATACCTGCATTAACAAACTAATGTCATTTCCATTTTCCCAGGCGGTTTTCATGAGGTCATTCGTTCATTTTTTATGGTCGCCTCGTTAGCTTAGTGGTTAGAGCACTGGTCTTGTAAACCAGGGGTCGAGAGTTCAAATCTCTTACGGGGCTGAGCAAGATTTGTTTTGTTCTTTTTGCATCAATGAAAAGAACCATTTCATTTCCCTGAAGTTTTTGATTCGATTATCGCATATGGTCGCCTCGTTAGCTCAGTGGTTAGAGCACTGGTCTCGTAAACCAGGGGTCGAGAGTTCAAATCTCTTACGGGGCTAGTTAAGAATCCTTATTTTAGTTCTCTTCACATCAAACATCAAAGTAGATAACCAATTTCTCATCATTGATAAATTCAGATTTTTGCTAATATGCACGTTATTGTTTACATTTCTAGACTGAGGTTTTGTAATCTAGCTACCTCAAACATCATTATTAGAACAATACAAAGTGCGTAAACGGTCACGCGAGCTACTCCTGTGTGTGGACTGTGAAGCATTGTGAAAAAGGTAAACTCACTGTCAGGTGCTTACCTACTCGTTATGAAAGAGGAGACGAAGCAATTTATTTATTTTCATGCTTATCACTAGTTGTTAGCAAAATTAAGAAAGATATGCATGGTTGTTATACCTAACATCACATGCAACATCACCAGAGGCTTTTATAGGTGCTGGTCCATTTACAGATTTATAGAAGGCGGGTGAAACAGCTGCATCTGTAGACATCCATAACGCGCTTCAGAGACACGTACAAGTGGCCTTGAGTACATCGAAATGAACTTCATTGGGTGAACAAATTTATATGCCAAACCTGCAAGGTCCAAGCTGACCAAAACCAGAGAAGCTCGATTTGTCTTGGACCAATGCTGTAGCCAGATTTCAGGACAAGACTAGGCAAGTTTCGAGCGCCGAAGGCGCGAGCCGCTGGAGGGGTCTGGGGGTATGCCCCCCAGAAAACTTTGAAATCTAAAGGTTTAGAAATGCTCTTTTAAGGATTTTCCGTGGCATTTTTCTTCAGAAAAGTCAATCTTTAAGAAAAAAAATTTAAAAAGGCGAAAATTAAGACGAGGCAATTGCCTCGTCTTGCCTCATGCTAGCTACGGCCCTGCTTGGACTCGGTAGTATACATCAGTAAACCTGTTTTTGTTTATCTGGATACCGACGAATGCACATTTTTGTCCCTCCAGCTGCTCAGAGGTGAATATTGCCTGTCAATCATCTCTCTCTTCAATCATGCAGCTTGCTTGAGAAAGCATTTTTCACGTGTGTGGTATATACAGGGGCCGATCCAGAAATTTTATGATGGNACAATAACATCCACAGCCTTAGGGATAAGGTCGACGAGATAAAAATATTGCTGCACATCTGCCGTTTTGACATTCTTGCGATTACTGAAACTCACTTGGATCGGAAAATTTCCAATCGTCAACTCGAGATTAATAACTACAAGATTATCCGAAGGGACAGAGACACTAACACCATCGGCGGTGGATGTTTATTCTATAACGCCAATCATATATGCTCAACTAGGCTAACAAGGGCGGATCCAGGAATTTTTGATAGGGGGGTCCAAACTTTGGTTCAGAAAGGACTGTTAGACTCTTTTGAGGCAAATTACTTCTTCCCCACACCCCCCACACACCCCCTCCCACCAGTCGCGGTTGCACGTTATAATTCCTTGGCCGCTTACCGTTTACTTGGATTCATTAATTTAAAAAATCAGCCAGTTAAAAATTGATATACGATCCTGCGGATGTAAGAATTTCAGTCTCAAAGTTGTAAGCGTTAGGTCTGATGGGGGGGGAGGGGGTCCGGACCTCCGGACCCTCCCCCTGGATCCGCCACTGATATACTAGTACTATTTACTGCAGTCCTTTTCATCTCCCATTTCATTCTGGTGGCCTTTCGATGATTGGTTTATTGGTTTATTTATTATTAACAACCTTTCACGCATAATCGGAATGGTGACAAAGGCACCTCCGGTCGCCAATTGCAATGACAATTCAAGTGTGATAATTATGTGGTTGAAGGAATATGATTAAAGGTGAGTTACCATTCAAAACCAAAACAAAATGAAGAAAAAAATAAAGAACACCAAAAAACAAAACACCCCACAAATTACAATCCGTCTGGCTCAGTCTGCTTCTGGTGTTATGCCGATATGAGTGGGAATTTTGTCCACACCTAATTAAAATGTCTATGACACGAATTTCTTTTTTGTGCTTTCTGTTTGATAGCTGTATTTAAAATTTGAAATAATCGACAGCTTTCACGTCACCACACGCTAACTCGTCACCAGTGTAAAGGACACTTTTAAGACAAGATAAGAGCACTTCAGGACCCGCAAAAACCGACTTTTTTTTTTGAAATTTTTCTTCTATTGGAATTGGATTTTATAAATGATAAGCCAAATAAAAATGCAAAACAATTTCGTGCTACGGGCACTTAAACGCGGCCAAAGCAAAAATATGAATTGAAGGAAATTGATCAAAGATGAATTACCATTCAAAACCGAAACATATAAAGAAGAAAAAAAAGAACACCAAAAAACAAAACACCGGGCCCGCAAATTGCAATCTGTCTGACTTTGTCTGCTTCTGGTGTTCTATTTCTGTTGTTTGTGCCGATATGAATGGGGCTATCACCCACGCCAAACTAGACGCGGCCAAAGCAAAAATATGAATTGAAGGAAATTACTCCCAAAAGAATCAACAAAACAAAGAATTCATATTTTCAGGAGGACACAGTGGTGCGAAAGGAATGATCGAAGAAAGATGTGCTTTTAATTCATAGCACAAGGAACAGAAATTGATTTAGTAACCCGTCTCGCAATATGTTCGCAAACGAGACAAAAACTGTCGACCAGGCTAACACAACCACGTCAGTGTTTTATTGTTGGTATTATCTAAGTTATTCTTGGGAATTGGGGGGGACCACTTTTGCCTGGCTTATATTTGGCATAACAATCCTTGCCTCGCCCATAATCGTTCTTCTTAATGTGTTCGAGATCGTAGCCGTGAGCAGAATGAGAGATTTGCAAACAGCATCGACTGTACAACGGTCATGTTGTGCAGTATGGCCTTTGCAGACATACTGGTTGGTGCTGTATCCATGCCGTTAACTGCCGTTATTGATTTGTTTATTGCTCACCAAACGTCTCTTGATATTGTCTGTATATTAGACTTCATGGGCCTTGCTGTTAGGTATTGTGCATCTACCTCTGTGCTGTCTCATTTGACCGTGACTGCATGGGACACAGGTACATGGCAATCAAGAAATGGAGACGATACAAGTTGATCGCGACAAGGCGTCGTGCGAAGAGACTTGCTTTGCTCGCTTGGCTGCCGTTGATGGTTATATTACTACCCCACATCTTAGCAGCGGCCAACATAGATGTTGGGTAGTTTGAAAATTCTTATCTTCTCTTTCAGGGTGTTGTTTGGGGACCGGCCGTAATGATGATAGGTTATTTTTACCTAATGGTGTACCTTGGAATACGAAAACTAAAAGTGAAACAGATCTACTCCGTTTGCACCGTACCTATAGCAAAGCAGAAAGCTAGAATTGCTACGACAACTGGTGTGATATCAGGATTGATAATTTTATCGTTCCTTCTTCGCGTTGTGATAGAGATGTTAGGAAAATTCTTCGAAATTTTTCAGAAAAGTTCGGTTTTCCGATTGACTGAGACTTTCATGCAGCTCAACTCTCTTGCAAATCCATTGATTTATTACTATAGAGATCGCCGATTTAGAAATGTTATTTTTAAAATGCTTCGATTAAAAAATTGGAGAAAAACCTGCCAGCTACCGGTGCTTATCCACGATTAGTCAAGGATATCAATACTGCAAGGCAGAAAACGGTGGCCATGCATGAATTACCACCACAAAATACCTAGATTTAACTAACAACATGAAGGCTTTCATTTAATTAGATGACTGCACAGCTTTAATTTGCTGACTGCTCAAGAAACACATGACATTTGAACGCTTCAAACGGCAACATAGCCTGTGTTACGGTAAAAAAAAATTTTCGTAGGAAAATCAGCATAAATTTTAGCAAAAAGTAAAGTATATGATCAATTTTTGACTAAGGAAAATTCAAATCAACAAATGCCTGAAAAACAAAAACAATCTTATTATTATTTTTTTTATTTTCAATATAAAATTTATACAGTTATAATATCTGCGATATACTCGCAGATATTTAATACTTATCTAGGCGGGCCAGTCTTGTAAATAAAATAATGTCTTTAATTACAGGACATAAATAATTTCATAATTACCTATAAAAATTGATATAAAATAATTAAGGAAGAGAACAGCTTAATAGAGAAAAATGCACAGAGGCCTTTTATTGGCGTCATTAATTATTTGCGAGATTTTACTTAAGAAAAATCTCATAAATTTAAAAACTTTCTCTCTCAAAAAAAATTAACCGTAGATTTTTGGTTACATCCTTAGAGAGTTTTGTATCTAATTCTATGCATAGTCTAGCAACGATTCTTGAGAAGGCATTTTTTGTACTTCATACAAGGTTTGACGGTTCCAAGTAGAAATTATTAGTGATAGAAAATTGTATGGTAGTAAAGGACATCAATTGGTGTCCTTTTTAGAAATCTAGAAGACATCTTCACAACAATTTATAATTAATACAATTGATTCTATTCTTCTCGTCTGCGTGCAGGTAATTTTTTTCCTTTCAATTTAATACCGAAAGAAATGTCTTTTTAAAGCGACAAACGCATGCGTTTGGTTGATTTTTCTTAATTGAAATCATGGGGTTGGTTAACAGAAAGTCTTTCAGAACACTATTATGAATCGTCCTTCATGGCGCCTCAATGGATTAGCTGAGGGGTTTACCAATTTTGAATCTTCCTCGGCTTTATGTCACATTTTTTACTATTTCGGACTTTTCTGCCATCTTCTCTTACCTAAACTGGATTTGTGCGGGACATCTGCGGCCAAAGTAAATATCAACTATTTTTTCCCTGTTCATCTCTACGCAAGGGGTGAATTTGTTTTTCTTTTGTCGAAAGGTTCTGCTTTGCTAGACTTATCCACTTAATTCAGTCATTTCAAAAAGAAAATATCCATCGTGAATAACTCGGTCCCTTTCATTTCACGTATTTTGCTCCTAATAAAACAATTTTTTAGGCGTGGAAGAGCCAACACCGTGCGATGCCCTGATTTAATTTCTATTTCAGGATTTTTGCAAAAACTAAACAATTTTTAGATTTACAATTTGCAGAAGAATTTCAATATCATTCATATCGTAAATGAAGAGAAAAACAAACAAACTAAGGAAAATACGAAGCAGTCAAAGCGAGCGAACAAACAAGTCTGGGTATGTTCCTGATAAACGTGCGGTTTTCTATAGAAAAATTTCACGAATTGTTTTCAGTTGCGCTGGCTGTAAAGCATTCAGAGCAAGAGGTGAACAATGACAAGTATTTCTTTTCGTATCTTTCCACGCTTCTACCCTGGAGGTGGAGTGAAAAGTTTGAGTTTAGGTCGAGAAAAAGCGAAACATTCTCAATGCATGGAAAACTAATTTATGTGGGTCGAAAATCCTCATCTTTTTTCCCTTAACATGTTTTGCAGTCCCTCATGAAACGTATTCATATTTGTCCATGTGTTTGTCAGCTATCGGTAATATTTCGATGACAGTTTACGATCATTAAAGTTCCAGAAGATTAAAAAGAACGTGTTTCATTTGCTAACTTCAGTATCAAGGCATTCGTATATAAAGCAAAAGTCTTCCCAAGATAAACACCGTGAAGTAATTTACCATAAGCTAGTCCGAGGTTCCAACCACTCCAAACTGTTTTTTAAGAGAATCCACTTTGGTCATGGCCAAAAATAAGCAAAATATTTTTGCTCGTTAAAGCATTTTTCGTTTTGCGCTCACCTCTCTACACCAGTAAAATCTCACAAACCATTCTTCAGGGAAGCTTAGTATCGTCAAACCGTATCAATGAAAATTCGATCGACCGTGACCCAGCGAACCGAAAAGTGGCATGGATGGTTGTTTGACCGGGTTCAAGTCCTGGCTGGGGCTTGACGTTGTGTCCTTAAGCAAGACGCTTCACTCACATTGCTTCGTCTTCTCGGATAGGACGTAAAGCCGGAGGTCCCGTCTCCTGCACCTATCAATTAGTTAATTTCGGCAAGGGACGTTAAAGAACCCACATCACGAGATTACTGTGATGTGGTCTGGCCTGTTTACTGGGAAGGGGGGGAGGGGGCATCTGTAAAAATTTCTCCTTTATTAATTGTAAACTGCCGCCGGCAGTCTGGAAAAGTCCCCCGCACAGTGTTGTAAAGCGCATTAGAGCATTTACATGGAAATGCGCTATAGAAATTGATCTATATTATTGTTATTATAATTTGCTACCTTTCTATAACATCAAGAAATGGTTAGATATTCTAGTCTTCTCGGATAGGGACGAATAAATGGAGGTCCCGTCTCCTGCAACTATTAATTAGTTAATTTGGTTAGGCAGGGGACGTTAAAGAACCCACTTCACGAGATTACTGTGATGTGGTCTGGCCTGGTTACTGGGAATAGGGGGGAGGGGGCATCTGNGGCTCATTTAAAAGGGTTATGATTGTAAGTCACACATCATCAATAACAAAAGTCTTCGTTTAAGAAACCTAACACATTTTAAGATCTTTGAAAAAATAGCCATGTAAGCAGTTGCATTTAAAGTATCGTGAATATACAATGTAAGATATTGAGTCACAAAGGTTTTCTCCATATTAGGCACATTGTAAATTTCTCTTGTATCTAAACGCAGTCGATTCTATTCGTTACGCTCGTATTATAATAATAATAATAATAATAATAATAATAATAATAATAACTTGTATTTATATAGCGCTCATATCTTAAACTCATGGCGCTTTACAACACTGTACGGGGGACTTTACCAGACTGCTAAGCAGTTTACAATCAAATGAAAGCGAATATAACAGATGCCCCCTCCCCCCTATTCCCAGTAAACAGGCCAGACCACATCACAGTAATCTCGTGAAGTGGGTTCTTTAACGTCCCCTGCCTAACCAAATTAACTAATTAATAGTTGCAGGAGACGGGACCTCCATTTATTCGTCCCTATCCGAGAAGACTGGAATATCTAACAATTTCTTGATCGATGTTATAGAAAGGTAGCATATTCTTCTCAATTATTTTAAGACCCTGAGTGTTGGTCCGGCCCGGGCTCGAACCCTCGACCTCCCGCACAACAGTCCGGCGCTTAACCAATTGAGCTGACCGGGAGAATTTTAAAGCTTCGGACTGATCGACGCATTACTTTTGTAACTTATTGAAGAGGTAAAATAAATAAGATACACCATAGCAGAATAGTATAAAATGTTTATTACTTTTTAAATCAATAAAATTCATCAAAATAGCCACTCGTCGTCTAGTTGCGACCAGCATCATAAATCGATAAGAGACTTGTCAACTATTCGGATAGCTCGAGCCATTGACAGACCCATTTTTGTATGGTTTGTTTTGTTTTTTCATGTCTTTGTTTTTTTGTTCTTTTTTTGTTTTGCTTTGTTTTGTTTTGTTTTGTTTTTCTTTGTTTTAAATTCAACAACTGTTTCAATAAAAAAAAATGCATGTACGTAAATGATGATCTCGATGCAATGATGTATCAGTTGTTTTTTTAGTAGGGATCAATCGCGAATACATGTCGAAGAAGGGACGCTTGACAGGATACACACCACATAGAGTTGACAAGTTAAAGAAGAATAAGAGAACCGCTGGTTTAAACAGAAATATACCTTTATCAAGCTGAGGAGAGCACTAACAACATAATAAAAAGAAAACCATTTCGACGTTTTTGTGTTCGAAAAGCCACAATGTAAAAATATTCGACACAAATCTGCAATCCCTTAACAACACGCACGCAACAAATATTCTTTGTCTACATCGATCCCCTTCCTCCACGCCCACGCCCACGCCCACGCCCCCTGGGGCCTCCAGTTCCCCTGCCCCGGTCGCCTCGACCTTGGTTTCCTCTACCTTGATAACCCCCTCTTCTAGTTCCTCTCCCCTCATCAACTGCCCGCTTATCAAATGTTCTACGATCGTTTCTTTGCGAGTTTGTGGTTCCAGCTCCTTCCCGATGTGTCCTCTGGTGTGAAACAGTACACCATCCCGAACTCGTGTCATTACCCGGTGCGTTGTCCCGATCGGCTGCATCGGATGAAGATGAGGTACTATCGCACGCATTCATTCCATTTGGTGTCCCCCTGTCATTGCGTGCCCTAGTCTCCTTCTGCTGTGAGTAGAGTCTTGCAACCTCACTGCTTTTCCTCCGCGCAACTCGAGTGGCACCTTCACTAGCAATCATGCGTTCCTTTATCGCTTCATTGTCCCGAGCATATGAACCTCTACCGGCATACTTTGAATCGCTAAAACTTCGCTGGTAGCTCTGGTCCCTGTGGCCACCTCCTCTTGCACCTCTGCCCCTTCCTCTTCTGCCTCTGGACGATTGATGCTGCTGACTGGATTGACCCTGGGTAGGGTCTGAGGGAGAAAAAGAGGAGCGTGGCTTAGGACTGCTATCTGATATCCAACTCGCGTCCCAGTTGGAAGGGTTTCCTGAAAATAGCAACAACAATAAGAATGACAGTGGCGATAGCTATGATAATGATAAAACAGATTACTGGTTGTAATCATAGTTATGGTAGCAGGAAAGGTTACGGTAAAGATAATAATGGAGTGACAGTGACGGTGATAATAATAAGTTTTCAGTTAAGAAAAACACGAAGAATAAAGACAAAAACAGCGGGAGCTGCCGCACTGGGTACCGTAAACACCACTGAATTAGTAAATACGCGCATAAGTTTACCTGTTTCACAAAGCAACTCTAAAGAGTTAAAGTTAAATTACTGTGAGTATCACCACACTAAAAAAAGAAGCACTAGAAAGCTTCCTTTTGTGCTTAAAAGTGCAAGAAGTACTAACCTTTATGAGATTTAGTGCTGACGGAGGCACTCCAAGGACAGCTATCTGGGGGACTCCGTGTTGTCGGTGTTGTAGCAGATGGGACCACTCTTGTGGGTGGTCTTTTTTCAGGACTTGAAGGGCCACTAAATGCCACTTTCTGCGCCCACGTGACTGGAAATGGGTCTTGCTTACTACGAACAGCGTTCAAAAGAGGTGGAGGGAGATTGGAGAAAGACGAGCGTCTTGAGCCTGAAGCCTTGGGAAATGAAACAAGATATGAATTCACGAGAAAAAGGTTCCCTTTCACAATGGAAAGTGCATTTTAACAGTGACTGTATAGAAAGGGAGGCGTATCACTGTAAAAATGCAGGGGTCTTGACCAAGAATGAAAACTCAAGCGTTGGGAATGCTACACTTTTGGTAGAACTCAGAGACTCTAACACTCCAGTTTGCCTAGGTCAGTCTGTCTCTGATTGCTACCGATTGGATATGACTGCAATTACTTCTACCCTGACTCGCTTTCAGTCTGTACTTTTTGTATCAGAATGGACAACACTGCATGCAGTCAGAAGGAGTCCTCATATTGGAGTATCATCGTAGCCATGATACTATATTCACATGGGCAATCAAGCTCAAACCTCTATTATCTCCAGCCCTATCTCTAGATGACCCCCTTAGCAATGTTAATATTCTACATCTTAGTAAACCTGTTTGGTTGAAGTTCCGTCTTTAAAATAGTATAAAGCTAGCTTGATTCGTCGATAGATCGGAGTTCCAACACCAGAAATAATGCTGACTGAATCAATATCTCGGCTCATCAAAGACAAACAACCCTTACACCAGATGAATGGAGAGTAAACCTGTTTACATTTACCTTGGTTACACAAGGAGATCCAGGTGGGGTAGGGGATTGAGATGAAGGCCCGTCCAGGCGGTTGTTCCCTCTTGCACTGGATCCTGCTGATTGCTTGAGCGTTAAATGGACAGTTTTTGTTCTCGTTGAGCCGCTCTCTTTAAGCAGAACTGTATGCACATGCTTGGTATTTCTGGGCTTTTTGACTTCATTCTGAGAACAATAACGAAACAGAAAGATTACATGTTAGTCGAAACGAGTTGTTTTTTCTCATTTGCGAGCCATGTAAATTTGCTACTTATACCTCTTGAGAGCGTGAACTCGAGTCCTTCTTGCAGCAAATGTCAGTTTTGTTGTTTTTTTCCCACTTTTGATGAATTTTGATGAAGTTGATGAATTTCTGAGTCCATGTTCGCGAAGTTGGAAATACAACAATATGAGACAGCAGTGAAAGGAAGAACTGAGAAAATTTCCGAGACACCGGGCAATGCACATGGGTCAATGAGAACGCGTTTAAGGTAATTCTCTTGAAATTGTTCTACAATCAAACTTTTTTTGAAACTTGGTATAGTTAACACTCATGATATAGACATAAAAAAAATGCAATAAAAAAATGAGGTCACCTTGCTTATTTACGCGTCAGCAAGCTCTTAAAATGGGGTATTTTTACTTTCGTACAGAATTTAGCCTTGGTAACTTGAAAGACAAAATTTTATTTTGAAATTAAAGCTTCTTTTCTTAAAATAAGCGGTACTGCTTCATTTTAGCTGTTTTTGATTGCCTGGTTGTGGGGATTTTGCACTTTTTCGGACAGTTCCGTGGTTAGCTTTAAGTCCTCGCCTTGGCCAAAATACACCAAGTACGGAACTATTTTCCAAACATAAAACCTGTTCTACTATCAAAATTTTTTTCTTCTTCAAATATACTCTTATTAGACTGTTCTTAGCAAATAACTGAAAAAAAAAAAAAAAAAATCGGGTGTCACCGTGCTTGTTTCCTCACAAACTGCAGTCAAAATGGAGAATTTGCGCGGTGGGGACTGGGACTCGTTTTTCGAGAGCAGGCCAGGAAGCTGTCAGCCGATTTGCGGCATTCTTATTACGAATAAAAGCTTTCGCTCTTCAAAAGTGGCCCTTGTCCGTTCTTTTCACGCTAGCGGAAAGAACGGCCGCCATCTTCGATGTCACAGTGCTATGCGCAGAAAAGGTTGCGCAGTGCAAAACAAGGGAATCACCTTAGTGCACCATACCTCGTAATTCACCGTGCATTCCACAACAGGTGCCGCACCGGGATTGCTGGTACACCAGCTGCTCATGACGTAGGGCGGCTGTAAGGCAAAGGGCAAGTTCAAAAAAGTACATACCTACCGCTCCAAATCAAAACAATTGCGGAAAATGAACTACCACTTGGCCGTCGGTGATAATAAGCTACGTGAAATAATTCCCGTCTAGGAATAAGTCCGAATTCGCTTTAAGCTTCATCCACTAGTTTACAATCCAATTCACAACGCTTAACACAGAATTATTGCAACAACTTTTAGATTTATACCTGATTCAGTGTTTGGACGTCACTTGTGTGTTTGACGAAGAATGTGACACTCTAAACGAAGAGAGAACGAAGATAAGACCAAAACAAATTGACTTTTCCACTGTCCTTCAAAGAAGATACTTAAAAGGGTGGATCAGTAATTACAAACCAACGAAACTATTTAAAACTTGTTCCCACCTTCACTAAAAGTAGAGCATTTTCGTCTCCGTCAATTTCCACAAACATCTTCCATTTGTGCTCCTGTTAAAGGGGAAGGAAATTTGGATGAAACATCTCGCCTTCTTCTACAACAGACCAGTTTATGTCTGGTTGTTTCACATTTAACCATTTGACTCTAAGAGTGACCAGCATCTAATTTCTCCTTACAATACCACCCCTGAATCACACATTAAGGTCACGACAATAAAGAAAATGATCACTAACTAAAGAAGCTGTTGATTGTTCCACAAATTCTCTTTGTCAGCACCTTGGAAAATGTACAGAGAACAGTACAGAGAATATGCATATTCACGTTACGGTTTAATGAGTTAATAATGGACAAAAAACGTCAAAGCTTCGTTTCCTAGTGCTTGGATGAGGATGAGTCTACTTGACCCTTTCATTTCCAAGATGTCAGTAGTAATTCTCCTAACTGTCTGCGGTACAATTCTTATGATGTTAGTATGGAGAATTAGATATTGGATCATCTCATAATCCCCCAAATGATATTCTTCTTTATTCTCATCACTTGTCTTCTTGACTTTGTATTGATATTGTAAAGAGAAATTCTATCTTGGTCACTCAGGGAGTTCAAGAGCTAAACTATTCTTGCGGCAGTTTACATGTATGTCTCAAGCTAGCTGAGGGCTGCTGCGCTTAGTTGTAAAAAATAATGTTGTCCTCAGTTTTAAAATTCACTCGTATTTTGTCCTCGAAATCAAGAAAGTTAGATCGCTTATAATTTTCTAAAGTCCCGATTCACGATTGATTCATTCAAATTGTCCCCATCAGAGGTGCATTGTTTCAGACGAATGACCTCCTTGCTCTCTGCAACCTCAGCTTCTATGCAAAGTTAAGGCTCGTGTACAATCGCACAGATCAAAATTTTATCAACGAAAGAAACTACACCCAGGCACTCACCTGTGAGGATTTCTCCATTCTACAGTGATTACCAAATAACAGAATGAGAGTTAACTGCTGTTGCGGTTGACTGCTTGGATAACCATTTGTAGTGACATCATCCTGAATGTAGTAATTTCAACAGCCAGTGGGAACAAATAAAATATCAAAAGGAGCCAATAAAATCCCAGGTATAAACACGCTTACAACCTAAAGCGCCATAAAACGCAACTGACCAAGTCACGATTGGTTTTAGTTTTGCAACTGATTGGCGGAGAATATCGCACGAGTTTTCTAGACCAATCATAAAGCGAAATGAAGCAAAAATTCCGGATTCCTTCGATACTCAAGTGGAAATTGCTCTGGAGGTTGTTAGACATAACTTACAAACTTGAAACTCTCTACCTGCACTGAAGTGCTACGAGCTGGCTCAAAAATGGCGCTGGTTTAAAACGTTTATGAAAAAAGGGTGCTTTTGAAGTTGCATTTATAATAGTAACAAACAAAATACAAATCATGAAAAAAGCAAAATAAACAATGAAAAAACAAAAACAAACAATTTTGCCTCATACCTTGGATCGAAGCGGAGGAAAGTGCATCATTGATTCACTCTCAGACCTTAAATGACAAATTTGCTCCTGCAAACAGACATACATAAAAAACAAAGGATCTTATTTTTCTTGATGATTGAAAGTAAAATATTCCGTCATCCGTTACTGTTTGACAACCTTCTTACACATGAGTTCGTAACTGTCGAAAACAACAATTTCCAAAGAACTCTTTCATACTCGTAGCTTAGCGATAACCCTGTCAAGCTATTTGACAGTGCAGCTTAAAATATCATGGAGTAATCCTTTTTAAAAGATCTCACAATAAACCAATTTTTTTTCTTTGCCGTTCCTTTTTTCTACAAAATATCCTTCTAGTATTTTCCCCGTCGCCTTCCAGAAATCTTTCCACCGTGTTGCAAAGGTCATTCGAGTTATCATGGAAACTTAATTTTTAACAAACAAGCATTTCAAAGCTGACTGAGGTGCCTTATTTTAACCAATTACATTTCATAAATTTCTTAGCTTGAACTAAAGCACACATTTTACCATCAACTCAATCCTGTGACCGAAGGATTCTATGCCAAGAGCGACCAAGTTCTCCTCTGTGAGCACGATGAGCCTGTGTGATAAAAATGTAAGTTTACACTCACGATTACTAATTTGATTCTATACCCGAAAGACGAAATGCCGGCTGTATCCACTGACTTTCTAACTGATTGACTCCCTGACTGACCATCCAATTGACTAACTGCCCGACTGACTCCCTCAATAGCTGACTGACTTTCTGTTGAACTGGCTGACTGACTGACTGACTGACTGACTAAAGGATTGCCCAACTGATTACCTGACCAACTGCGTAACTGACTCTCTGATTGACTAACTGCCTGACTGACTGAATCTCTGAGCAACTTACTAACTTTCTGAATGATTGCCTGCCTGCCTGAATAACTTTCTGAATAATTTTCTGAATAACTGAGTGACTGACTTTCTTATTGACTGGCTGCCTGACTGCCTGCCTATCTAAATAACTCCCTGAATAACTGAGTGACTGACTTTTTGATTGACTGGCTGCCCGAGTGACGGATCAAATTCCTTATCAACTATTTGATTAAAACAACACTTACTTAGTGACTAACAAACTTCATAGTATACGTTTTATCTAACTCTGCTTTTTCTGACCAAACTTCCTCTCCAAAAACCTGCCTTCTACCAAATCCATGCACTACCACCATATCTATTTTGAAATACAACAAAACACATATCAGCAAGGGGAAATGAAAACTAACATATTTAAAACTTAATACAACGACTCAAATAGACAGATGAGAAGTGTTTACAAAGTCACTAATAAAAGCCACTGAACTAAGATAGGACAGGTGCATTCCTTTGTGAAATAAAGGAAAAACTAACCTTCTCCCAGTGATATGATTATCTTGAAACAGCTGTAAATACGTCACAAGATCTTTGTGCCCACCTATAAATAGATTACGACAATTTAGCAAACAAGGCCAGGGCTCGACACCAACAGTAGCCCACTAGCCACTGACTAGTAGAAATTCAGGTTTGGCAAGTGGTTTTCAATTTCCACAAGCCAGTTTGGCTAGTAAACAAACTGAAATTGTCGTAACATCCAAGATGTCACTAGCCACTTGTCTGGTAATTTGAAAAGTTAGAGTTGAGCCCTGAAGGCCTAGCATTCTGAATTTAACGCAAATTGAAACTTTACGAAATCAGAGCTTAAAAAATTGTAAAGTAAACAAGAAGATAATTTGGCTTTATCAACAGAGTTGACAAAACAAATGTAAATTGGCTACCATGAAGCTGAAGTTTCAGTCAAGCTACATACACATACTACTTAGTTTTCTACAGAGCTTTTTTTGAACTGCAACATTGTGCAAGTAATTTTTGCTAGTAACTTACTGTTCAGTGCAACTTGCTGCAGCCACAAACACTGAAATACATTACACAGAATTAATCATACAACAGATAAAAAGAAAAAGCGCAGAAAAATATTAAAAGACTGCAAACAAACTAACCACATCATTCTCTGTCCAGGCATTAACGTCATGTTTGTCCAGAACCTGAAGAAAGATATAGACAATGTTTTAAATAGGCCTTTTTTTGTTGAATAGAAGAGGAGGTGGCTTTTCGACAAATGTGCTTAACAATTGAACAGAGAAATCCTGGTTCGAACCCTGTTTGGGGGAATTTTGAGCAGACTTGAGCTATACTCTACTCATTCAGCTGTCACAGTCCAAAAACAAACAAACAAACAAACAACAGCAACAACAATGGCACTAACATCAGCAGCAAAATGAAACAACAACAGAAAAAAACTATGGTTTGAGCAAAGACATTCAGCCTTTTCTATGAAAAAAAAAAAAACAAAAACAACAACAACAACATTCACTATCAAAACAAATTTGACTGATTTTTTTTCCTAAAATTTTTGACAAAAAAAAAAAAAACTAAGATCTGGTCCAGTCCTGGCTGATGTACTTTACAATATTATTATGTCTTATCAATCAGCAAATCACATTTTGAATTACGTTCCAAGTGCAACAGGTTACATGATTTTGAAGTGGAAAATGCACAAACTAATAATTCACATGTACCTTTGAAACAGACTGCTGCTCAATTATTTCCTTTTCTTTTTGAAGTACACGTACTTCTCTCTAAACAAGGAAAAACAGCTACTAAGTGTTCAATACATACAAGATAGTAAGATCCTGGGGTCTGTAAACTGGTGTTTGAGTCATCTCAGAACACTCACATTTCTTCATCTCATGATTAAGAAAAAAGTTCAAAATCATTACATAAACAAAAACAAAACAAAATTGTCTACCGCACGGCCTGTTAGACCAAGGATAAAAGTCAGAGAGCACATGTCAAAGAGCACTTTGCCAAAGATAACCATAAAATATCCACTAATTGACAACTTTCCACTTTAAATATATCAAAATTGGTCTTAATTCCTGCATTGCAGTAAACTGATTATGTCTCAAGAATTTACTTTCTGATCATGAACAGTCAGAAGGTGAAAGGTGACGCAGTAAATTCCATACCTCATGCAATTCCTTTTCCTTTACTGTTAAATCTTTTTCTAATTTCTTGAGCCTGCTTAATGTTGCCTCTATTTCATTACTGAAAATTAAGTGAATTCAAAACAACATGTAAGTAAAGAATGAGTGAGCCACAATCTACAGCGCCAACACCAAGTGCTCACTGTAATCAATGAGCATCCTGCAGAACCAACAATAAACAGGGCTCAACACTAATGGTAGCCAACTAGCCACAGACTAGTAGAAATTCAGTTTTGGCTAGTGGTTTTCAATTTCCACAAACCAATTAGTGTCAAGCCCTAAATAAGGCATAAGAATCTTACAAAATGATAGGAATGTTACTGAATACTTGATTAACCTACCTCCAGATCCTTTTCTGCTCAATAAAAGAGTCTGTTTCCTGTTGTAGAGAAGCTGGAAAAAAAAAAAAAACACAATGTCACAAGAGGAATTGGAGATTTCTGTTAATGACTTAAATATTGAAGATTTGGTATTGAGGATTTCTATTTATTTAATGACTTAAATAATGACTCAGTGATGGTTTCTCTTCTTCCCATGCTACAGACTTTGAATTGTCACTTTTAGGTTATTGCCCCCTATATGATTGTCACAGGCTGGTGATAGGTATATAAAACTAAAATAAATAATTATTTTACATGCTCATGTACCCTTGCATGCAATACTTAATCATTCATATTTCTATACTTACCATCTTTACCCATGGCTTTGAGTTCTGTCAAAATTTCATGAAAATTTGGGCGTTCCTAAAAAAAGGAAAGGTAAAGCATCAATTATGTAAATCAACCATAGAGTGCACATGTATGTGAAACTGAAGTGTAAAGACTTCTTGTTTAATTCTTAGACTCCAAGTACAGTACAATAATACAAATTGAACTTAAAATTCTCTGAAAGCCATAGCAAACTTGCTTAACATGTATGTCAAAGTAAACCATATATTCCTCACAAACTTCAAGATCAAAAATCTGTCTAAAAAAAAACGATAGTTGACACCTAACATTACTATTCCAGAAGACATGATATATTTCTAATAGTCATGCGTAGCCTAATTCCTCAACAGCATGTACACCAAATGCGGCACACTTCAAAGTAAAGCTGTGCGCAAATGATACAATAGACACAAGGTGAAGACTGATTAGCGGATATCACAGACACCACAATTAACATCTCCCTTTGAGGAAGAAGTAGTCTCCCATCAGACACAATTACAACTGAGTCTTCACCACTTTCCTCTAAAGCAACCCCCCCCCCATCTTCCAATGGAAATAACCACATGTATATAAAATTATTTATTAGTTCACAACGTTAAAACCTTATGATTTTGCATGCTGATAAGGAAAGATTTTGCTCTTCATTTCTGTAGAAATCAAGGCAGTCTTTTTTCAAGGCATCATCATATTAATTCCTTCCCTGTTTCTCTCTCTACTTCTTTTCTGGTTAGTGTACAAATGTATGGGTAAGTGACTTCAACACATTAAAACAAAATGCTTCAGTCTCTGAAGAAAGGATCTCATTCATCGATAACACTTTAAACTGTAAATACATGTACCGGTAGTGCCAAAGATGTATTAATCACCCAGACAAAGGATTCAGAATTTCTGAGAATTAGCCATAATTACCTTTGGGTCCGTTAACCAACATTTTTTCATGAGCTTTCCAAACGTTTCCGGGCAGCTGCTTGGAATTGTCAACCGCTGGAAAATTGAAGAAATCAACTACCCTTGACAGATGTCACATTTCTAAAAATCACACTCAGTCTAATAGACATAAAATTTGCACCTCAGAAACCAGGTACTTTGAGAAACAATTTGCAATGAAAATGAACAAGATTGGACAACTTCAATAATGTGATTGCTTTCATTGTCATCATTGTTATGATTATCACAATAAGAGATTTTTGCAATATCCTAAAGGGCATAGCGCGTATCTGTTCTCTAATTATTCCTTTATTATTAATTTATTTAAAAAAAGAAAAAAACAGATCACACACTACCATCAAAGACATTTATTTATGGGGAGTGGTCTTTGGCTGACTCTTAGATGTGTCTCCCTCTGAGACAATAACTTGTATGTTGACACTAGTATATATATTGTAGTTCAATTTTATACCTGGTTCAAATTTTATTTTCCTTTGTTCTCGGTCATGATTGTTAATGTATGATAATGAGTTTGAAACAAAGGAAAATAAAATTTGAACCAAGGATAAAATATACATACAACATATACATGATCATGTATTTGCTTTATTTCAAAATTAACCATAATTTACCACACTGATTTTATTTACCTCTCCCTCTACCACAACCAGCCATGCCACTTGGATACCATCAAGTCCTTTAAATGGCACCTCTTGGGTAAGCATCTCCCACAACACCTAAAAAAAAGTTCATTCAAGCTCAATACTGACTGCAGGCAATAATCAATTCCCATACTGGTGACAGTAGCACACATATGAGCAATTGAAAGCCAGGGAGAGCCAGAAAAGAAAGCAGACTGTGTAAATGCAGCACAATAAACTCATGAGCATTGTTTATTTTTTCTTTGGTTTGACTGTCTTCTGAAGATGCTTTTTGTGACCCATCACCTACATTGTACAAAAGTTACAAACTTTGTAAGTCTGCTTCTCACACTTTTTTCCTTGTGTGGGATCAAAGCAGGCAATCCTGAGTGGGCAAGATGAACCAATCTTTCCCACTTTGGCAGCCAATCAGAACATAGGATTTGCTTCATATTGCCTATGACCATAGTCAGCTCTATAAGCCAGGTAATAAATCACTGTTTGGCCCACTAAATTCAAATCTTTCTTTGAATTGAAATCACTCACCACTATTTAAACTCAGAGATATAATTAAACATACATACCTCTTCCTAACAGAGCTCGAAGACTGTACTGTAAGCTACAGAAAGAGTTTTTTTCCACTTGGCTGCACACATTGCCATAAATCTGATTGAAAAAAACTGTTCCATAATTTATGGTAGTGAACAAGAAAACAAGTTTTCTTGTTCTGTTTTGTTTTCTTGTTCTCTACTATAAATTATCAGACTCAATTTTTTTTTGCACAGATTTAAGGCCTGTCTGCAGCCAAGTGGAAAAACTCAAGCTCTTTTAATAAGAGGTACAGTATGACTAAATAATAAACACAACGAATATATGAAATTCATATATCTGAACTGCGGTTATAGAAACATACTTGTGTACGATCCTTGCAGGGCTCTTTACTGCGAGGATCGTGCAAATATGTTTGAGTATGTAAATAATGTTTAAAAAATTTCAATTTATCATCATATTTATAATGAGTGTTAAATGAAGTGACAAAGTGATGACATAAATGTACATGTAATCTTAAAAACCATTTCAGAATCTTAGATTATTTTCATTGGATGCAATTTGAGATCATCTGTGCAAAATAAAACAAATGCATGATACACAAGATGTTTACGGTAAAAGCTCTCAGATCATTTAAACTCACCACAGCATAAGAAAATGTGTCACAAGCCTCTGATATGGGCATGCTTTGAATAACCTGAGTATACAACAAAATTAATTATTGGTACTTATCTGAGTATAAATACAATAATCTGAAACTGAATCTTTGTTCTAATTAATTTGAATATATCAACAAAGTTGAAATGGTAAATTGGCCACCGTTACGGTTATAAAAGCTGACGTTTCGAGCGTTAGCCCTTCGTCGGAGTGAAGGGCCGACCTGTCATCAATCAACTGTTCTAATTGATTGATGACATGTACTGACAGTCAAGTGATATTGAACCCTTTCAATTGCAGGGTAACCGAAAAGAAACCTTATGCTAGCAATAATTATCGCTTGGAGGTTTTGAGAAGGAAAAAAATCAATTATGAGACATTCTTTGATTTACACCAAAATGCTCAAAACTCAAATTATAAGAAATATAAAGAAGACAGTGCAGAGAATTGAGATTTTGATCAAGGAAGTAAAAGAGTTATGGCAAGGAGACAGTTTCACATTTTTTTTAAGGAGCAAATGGTCGAGGGTAATTAATAGTCAGAATCTTATTGCATGTTTATAACATAAATGAACATAGTAGGTATCATCTGATTAGTCCATTCAGTTTCCTAGCGGATACTTTATCTGGTTATAAAGCTCACATTTGTTATATCTATGCCATAGAAGCAATAGAATGCATTTTACTTTTCCGAGCTCTATAACATGATAAAACCACTTGGGATGTTGGGAGAACACTCAGAAAGCTCATCAGATTGATTTACACCAAAATGCTCAAAACTCAAATTATAAGAAATAAAAAGCAGACAGTGCAGAGAATTGAGATTTCGATTATGGAAGTAAATACATTATAAGCCTTACAAGCCTTACTTGTGTTCTCCCAACTTCCCACATGGCTTTATAATGTTATAGAAGCCGGAAAAATGTGTTCTGTTGCTTAAAGTATAGCTTTAACCATCTCTACCCTAACATCAATATGCATATTCTCCATACCGTTCTCAATATTGTATATATGCTTAAGGTGTTGACAAAGAGAATTTTTCTAACAATCAAGAACTTCTTTAGTTGGCAATTATTTCCTTTATCCTTGTGACCTTATTATTTGCAATTCAGAGGCAATATTGTTAAGAGAAATAACAAGCTACATGTAGTTGCCCTTAGGGGTTAGAGGCTTAAAGAAGGAAAAATTCTAAACAATGACTTCAGCAGATCAATTTCCATGTAGTTTGTATGCATTATCTATAAGTAGCTCCCTTCCCGAAGACTGTTTTTTATGTGGAAGTTTCAATTCATATGATTCGTGAAATCAATTCCTTATAGCATCCTCTGACTCTGTACAGAATCTCAATAGAGGGAAATTGTTTTAAGGAGAAGTACAGCCACAGTTTGGAATTAACACCTTTTTCAATTTCTTCTATGTAGTCATACATTTATAACTAGGTTCTCATTACCTCAGGAGCCATCCACGGGTATGTCCCCACCAAAGACATCTTAGTTGTGTTATTCAGGAATCTTGATGTACCAAAATCACAGATCTATAATATTTTAAAATTGCACTTTTTTATTATCGTTTTTTATCGTAATTTGGAGTCATTGTACTTACTCGCATGTACATCTAATGCCATACCAAATGATATGACTGTTCATGATTCATTTATGGTAGATGTAAATTGATGATGCAAACATCCTCCTTGCTGTCAGAATTTAAATGTCAACATGCTTCTTCTCCACAGTGGAAATGAAGATGGTATATGTACAGGTATGTTTTAAGGCAGGTGATTAATTAAAAGTAAAATATATGTACAGATTCTCAATGCATGCAGTCATAAAATTTATGTTATTTAACATACTTAGGATACACACTATTTTGTGTGCTTCATGAGTCTCATTGTACACTGCAATAATATGTGGCTGCACACTTACTTTGACTGTCAAGTTAGAGCAAATCACCACTGCAAAACAAAACAATTAAGGCACAGTGAGTTTATACAACTATAAATTGAAAATTTAAAGTTTAACTTATTCTATAGTAAAGGTGTTACAGTCAAACCTCGATTATCCGGATTTCTCGATTATCCAGACTTCTCGATTATCCGGACTAGCTTTTCTGGTCTCCTTTTTTCATGAATATTAATTATTCACATTTATTATCCATAGGAAAGCTATCATACACCGAACTGAGTTATAAAATTCCAGTCAGAACTGAATTTGTTTCGCATCAAAAGACAATTTTGGGCAAGGTTATTGCCCGAGTGATCTTAAACGCACCTAACACGTTCAGTAGTAAATTGTAGTCAGAAATGGCATGTGATTGTGGTTCATTCTTGCATGATTCTTGATTAAATGTTACAGTTTACAAATATATTCAGTGTTGACTCATTAATGTTCATATTTTCGATTATCGGGACTCTCCATTATCCAGACTATTCGGGCCAGTCCCCAGTGGTCCAGAAAATCGAGGTTCGACTGTAATCATTTTCCTGACGACAGTGAGCATTACCACAATCCTCATTATCCAAGCCCAATCATCTATAATTTAGTATTTTTATCAAATCCAATATGCTTTTTTCTAATTAGTAATAAGGCCTGAAACGGTGAGGTACACAAGTCATTTTTAATTCAACAACTGGCAGATATCATTCAAAGTTTAACTCAGACTTTCTTCCAAGGGTTTAAATGGCCATTTAACTCAAGATCAAGAAATATTACTCACAGCAAATAATGTACTACACGTAATAAATAGTTAATCTAAATAACTTTGAAGCATTTTACCTCAGTGTAAAACTTAATAGGATACATCTTGTTTGATTGTGGTATAATTGTAATTTCATGCTTTCAGTATCCATTGACATCAATCTCATTTTTATAAGTCTGTACCCAATCACCATTTCTTGAGCCTCATCTTTATATGCCCCTGATTGAGTGAGATCTAATCTTTTAAAATATTTACCATTTTTTGACTTGAGATCTCTGTGAATCACCTTCACTGGGGCTTCATTGTGGAGGTAGTTGATACCTGTATACATATGAGGAAAAATAAAAATGATTAGTGTTCATTGACACATTGAATATTCTACATGTATACTGTACAACGTTTTTTACTTGTTATTGGTACCAGTAAATTATAAATACTGGATAGAACTTTGTGTTTACATCATTCTACACCTTGTTTACTCTAACCTTACCTATTATCTCTCACAATTTATAACAAAAAAAAAATACATCATTCTTAACTCTTTAGCTCCCAGAAACTGATTGATACACAACTTCTCCTTATAATATCCATACATTGTCCAGCAAGCAGGTAATCAGAATATTCAAACTTATCAGGTATAGGTTTTTATTTTGATCTAACACCAAATTCTTGTAACTAACTTACAAGGAAATCTGTAGCAGCTAGAGGGGAGAATTAACAATCAGATCTTTGGAGTTAAAGGGTTAAAAAAGTGCCTGGTAGTCATAGAGTTACTTCAATGTGTTCCCTTAATACAGAAATATGGTTTTCTTAACAAAAAAACAAAAAAACAAACAAACATGTCTTTACTCTTTCACTCCCTAGATCTTTATAGGAATTCTCCTTACTGCCTATCATGTAATTCTCATCGCGTAAGTTTGGAGAATTTGGTTTTGGATCAACTAAAAATACCCTAGTTGATAGTTAACAACTATTCACTGAAGTGGAGGTGGTTAGTGGTGGTTAGTGGTGGATATTTGTGGTGAGGTAAATATCCATCGCTAACCACCAACACTGAGGTGAATAGTTGTTTTAGTATATACTAAAACAGTGAGATAATATACACCACCGTTGTTAATTTGAGTGATTTCTTTGCTTGTCATGGATGCAAACCAGGACGCCATTTTTTCCTGACTTGCTTGGAGGTAAATAGCAAAGGATATTCTGAGTTTGACTGGCCAATCAGAGCATGCCTTCAATGCTATCCACTGTTTTAGTGTATACTAATTTTCTTTATTCTTTATTTACAACACTTGTCTGTTTGATATTGTATTGATGTTGTAAGGAGAAATTCTTTCTTGGTCACTCATGGGAGTAAAATGGTTAAGCTTGTACCTATCATAATAATCACTAATAGTTACTGTTAGTAGTTCAATTTCTTCCTGTTGTCTAATTTTGGAAACTTGACCAACTACCCAATCAGGAGAAGCAGCAATAATACTGCTGCTTACTTTGACAGAAGCAGCCCAACTGGCGGCCCATCTTGCCTAAGCTTATCCTTGTGTCTACAGCAAACGGGTGTAATTAGCTACTCTCTCTCACTGGGATGCCAGTCCATCCCTATTATCCATCGGGCTTCCTTGACAGTTAACTGGTACCCATAAATACATGTACTTCCAGGTGGAGAGAGGAAATGTGACATTAATTAAAAGTGTCTTTTCCAAGAACAAAATAATTTGAATATATTAACAAAGTTGAAATGATAAATTGGCCACCGTTACGATTACAAAAGCTGATGTTTTGAGCATTGGCCCTTCGTTGGAGCGAATAGGGGAATTGTGGGTTGTGT